ATGTTTATAAAGTAAAGCAGGGGCGGATTGGGCATTTGCTTTACAGGTAAAAAGAGAGCCAGTTTGGTGTAGTGGTTAAGTGTGCGGACTCTAATCTGGGAGAACTGGGTTTGATTCCCCACTCCTCCACTTGCACCTGCTGATGTGACTTTGGGTCAGTCGCAAGCTCTGGCACAGCTGTCCTTGAAAAAGAGCAGTTTCTGTCAAGAGTTCTCTCAGTCCCACCTACCTCACAGGGTGTCTGTTGTGGGGAGGGGAAGGGAAAGGAGTTTGTAAGCCACTCTGAGACTCCAAGTGAAGGGCGGGGTATAAATCCAATCTCTTCTTCTTCTCTAAAGCAGGCCTTGAGGGCAGTCTGTCACAGGCTCCCCATTCCACACCCTGAGGCCGGCAAGGAAGAGCATGTCTGGCACATCCTTTTCCTCCAGACAACTTTTTGTCCCTCCATCAGGTGAGATGGGGGACGAGAGGGTAGGAAATGGCAGGGCCCTTGTGGACTTCCAGTCTGTCCCAGAAGAGAGTTATTTTAAAATCAAATGTACATTCCAACCATAATGCAGAAACTGATGTGAACAGACAATAACATGCTAGATATAAGGCAGCCTTGGGTATTCACATCTGTATATATGCATTTAAAAAGTGACATTTTGCTCCATAGAGCACATGCCTGTTAAATAAGTCATGACAAAATACAATAAACAAAATGCATAGATATATTAAAAAGAGGACAAGTGCAGGTAGGAATCTAGCTTCTGCAAAAATTCAGTAACTGCCTTCTGACATTACAGTTCATTTCTTATTTGATGGTTCTTGGGTGGTGTGGCTTAATATAAAAGCATTGCATCTGAGTGCCTATACGGCCACAGTGTTTGATCTGGGAGGGCAATTTCACACTTACAAGACATCACTCAGCCTTGCATTCCCTGACCAGTCTGCATGAGTGAACTCACACAAAGTGTACCTTTAAATGTGTTCTTCTGTATCTTGCCTTTTCTGTGAAGCCTTCTGCACTGTCAGGTCAGCACTAGATTGGAACAAGGGGATCGGAACAGTACCTGTGATCAGAAAGTAACATGTTCTGCATGGTTTACTTTCTGTGATCTGTTAGCCTGGATTCATACAGTATCCATGTATTTATTCTACTGGTACAATCCACAATGGTCTTAAGTCACTCTGGTACTTCTTATATCTTGTCCATATGCATGGTTTACTTTTTGTGATCTGTTAGCCCGGATTCATACACTATCCATTTATTTAGGGAAGATGCATAATTAAATTCCCTCTCCTCTCATAAGCACTGCAAGAATGAGACCCTACTACAGCAATCAACTACATGACATGGTGTGATTTCTATTAACAGAGCTCCCAGCTTGTATTTCCCTTAAAAAAAAAGTCACAGGGGCCTAATTTGGATCAGTACTGGTTTAAACCCTTTCCCATTTTCCTGACTTGAAACTGGCCCTAGTGAGCCACTATTTGCCCTATTATATCAGCTACCTGGGGTATTTCAAGTATGGGGAAAAGCATGAAGGAAGGCTTAACCCTTCTCCCAGGGGTCCAGTCCAAGCTGGGGTCCTGTGTGCCTGATACAGAAAAAGAAATGCTGAGATCTCTTTCCAAGAAATCCCAGGTTCTCGTTAAGCTGAGTCCCTTCCTTCAGCAGAGAGTTGTGGCTAGGTGTGTGAAGGGGTTACTTGGGCAAATGTTTCTTTCTAGATCAGCAGTGCCAGGAGTGTCATGGTAAGGGGATTCATTATTTGCCACTTGTGTTGGCTGCAAGGAAGCTGCTACATAACTGCTTCACTTTATTGAGAAGACGTTGTTTTGGATGTTAAGTGACTATCTCATAGTGCGTGCATTTGAAATGAAATTTAAGGTCAGCTAAAGGCTAGTCTATTCTTATCAGACCTTGGAAGCTAAGCAGGGTTGGACCTGGTCAGTATTTGGATGGGGGACCACCAAGGAATACCAGGGTCACGATGCAGAGACAGGCAATGGCAGACCACCTCTGAACCTTCCTTGCCTTGAAGACCCAACAGGGTGATGATAAGTTGTCTGTGACTTGACAGCAAAAAAAAAAGAAAAGAAGCAGCTGCTCCTTTGCATCACCCAAAGTAGCTCTTCATTGGCTGTGGACAGCATTAGGAATGTCTTTTTTGCCATGATCTGTAGGAGACATGGATTTGTTTATGTCTCTCTCTCGCTTTCTCTTCTACCCTAAGGACTCAAAGCATCCTGCAGCAGCTGTGAATTGTAGATGTGGATCCAAGTTCATTACAATTAAATCAGATCACATAGTTAGATGAAGAAAAGAGAAGGGGGGAGAAGAAAAAAAAAAGGAACTCTCCACATAATGTGAAATAATCAGGAGACTTTTTAAATTCTAGCATAAACGTTTGGGACTCCCTGCATGCTTTGTCAGATGCAGTCCTCACCTAATGCATCTGAAGAGGTGGGCCCTGGTGCATAAAAGCTCATGCTTGATTAAAAACCTTGTTAATTCCTAAGGTGCCATAAGAACCCTGTTTATTGTTGCTGCAATGGCTATCATTCTGCGGTTATTATTACCAGTATGAAAACACGGATTCAAAGATTTCACTAGCAGAAAGGATCTCTCTGTTCCTTAAAGACTGTTTTTACCCCTCATCATGGGGCAGAGAACACTGGAGAGCCATGCTCAGCAGATCTGGACTTGGCCACATTAATTGCATGTTCACTTTTTTCCAACTCCTAGCTCTCTCACTCACCATGTGCCTGGAGGTTCTCACCACATGGATCAATGCTTATCATGTTGAAGGTCAACCTACCCTTTAGTCCAGCTGCCAGAAATAGGGTAAGAAGCGATGGAATATCAGAGTGCTGGTCCCAATCTAAGTATATGTCATTATTTACTTACTTCATACCTTCCCTTTTCCCCCAATGGGGACCCAAAGTTCCTTACATTATTCTCCTCTCCTCCATTTTATCCTCACAACAACCCTGTGAGGTAAGCTAGGTTGAGAGAGTGTGACTCGCCCAAAGTCATCCAGCAAGCTTCCATGGCACAAGTGGGGATTCAAACAGGGTCTCCCAGGTCCTAGTGTGACACTCTAACTCTCCACTACACTGGGTCACAATGTGTAGTCCCTTATTCTGAGATTTAAAACATGGATGAGGATGTATTGCAACAGGGAAAGCTTTGGAAAGGATGGTCCAACAACAAGGGAGATGGACTTGGATCTGGTAGATATCAGGTCAGGTTCCACTTTGGCCATGGACACACCGGGGAATTTGGAGCAACTGACCTCAGTTTCTCATCTATAAATAGGCAGAAGCATGCATTGAGCTCCTTGGAGGAATAGGGAGAAAAAATTGTATGAGCAAGCAGAATGAAGACTGGAAAGTACTCTGCACAAGCACGTTAACAGAGTAACAGTGGCAACCATCTAGGCAAATAGAGACACCTATGGCGAGCTTATTGGCTCCTACCTATATTTTCCACTGATAAAAAGGCATTCATCCCAGGGGAAGGGGGAAGCAATTTTTGCTAATTCCTCCTGTCATTGCAGATGCCTGCATTCTTACTGGAGATCCACCAAGCTTCGGGATAAGACTCTGGGAAGAAAAGGCAAACTGCAAGGGGGGGGGGGCTTGTAAAGTTTCCTTCCTCAAACACCACTGTGCTTATGTAGAACAGGATTCAAACTATGATCTGTTACATTTTCCATGCAGTACGTCTTGGATTAAGTTTATGCTTTTGCATGACTCTGCACTGATTAAATGGAGGCATCTTTCATACACAGCATAGCAATGCAATCTGATTTGTCTGGATTAAGTTTAGAAGAATGCAGACGACCTACTTGGAAAACTCCATTTTTATACGTTTCCCCTCTTACCATTACTTTATGAACTGCACAAGCTCCAGCTTTGTCTTCTACAATTCACTAGGGAAGAGAAACATGAGTTTCTGTTCAAGCTTTACGACAGAAGTATGGAAAAATGCTGCATGTTGTAAAATGCAATTGGATGCTTCTCATCTCAGTTCTCACTCCAGCAAGTGAGTCGCTGAAGAAATAAGTCTGCCTCCATCCTTACATCAGAGAGGTAATTAAGAAGTTCAGTCTAAAACCTGGGCACAAAATCAACCCCAGCATACAGAACATCACATCTTTGTATGCAGTGCTCACTAGTCCTTCCTAACTAACGATGATTCTCTAGTTCTGTACTCATAAGCATTCACTCAGATCAGACTCTCCACTTCAAGAACTAAAAAACCCCCCCTTTTTTTTTTTTTTTTACTATATGAATGTTGTGAATAGGTAAGAAGAGCTGGACTGGCTCAGACCAGCAGCCCACCTAGTTCTGGAGTCACACAGTTGCAGGGAGACGATAAAAGACTTGACCGACAACATGTCATTCATCTTGATTAGGAACCCGGAGAAAGTTCACTGAAGTCTGACGGTGAGCCTTTCCCTCAAGTCCTGAGCCTTGAAAAGCAGGACTCGAAAATAAACGAACAAATTCTCCACCACAGAAGGACAGTTAAAGGGAGCCGGGGGGTTCATCAACCCCGAAGAACGACAGGTCTGGTTAAATACAGAAGCCCCAAAGCGCCCCCCGTTCGCAGGTGCGACTCTGCCCGGGATGGGCGCGAGGATTTGCAGACGTTCCCATCAGCTCCCTCCGCCGCCACGCTACTGCCAAATCCAGTTCGCTTACCAGAACAAGCTGGGGCCAGGCGGCCAGCCCATCGCACAGTATGTGCCCAGCCCAGGACCTTTCCCCTCTTCCATAGCCCTTCAATGAGAGGAGATAAAACGACCCCCTGTCCCCACTGCCAAATCCAGTTCGCTTACCAGAAAGAGCTGGGGCCAGGCGGCCAGCCCATCACACAGTATGTGCCCAGCCCAGGACTTTTCCCCTCTTCCATAGCCCTTCAATGAGAGGCGCCTCGACTGCGGGGAAGGAGCCCGGCGGCACTCGCCCCCTTGGCATCCCGCGCAGCAGCCGCTACCGCCAGCATGACCCCCGCCGCCCGGGCTCCGCTCCTCCTCCTGCTGCTGCTCTGCCGGCCGGTGCTGGGGGAGCCGAGCGCGGGCACTTGGGCTCGCTTCGCCCGGCTGCCCTACCCGCAGGACCAGCTCTTCCTTTACGACGCCTTCCCGGAGGGCTTCTTGTGGGGGGCGGGCACGGCGGCGTACCAGGTGGAAGGCGCCTGGCAGCAGGACGGCAAAGGGCCCTCGGTGTGGGACACCTGGGCGCACCGGGGCGCGGCGGCGGCGGGGGGCGACGTGGCCAGCGACAGCTACCACCGCCTCCAGCGCGACCTCGAGGGGCTCCGGCTCCTGGGCGTCTCCCACTACCGCTTCTCGCTGGCCTGGGCGCGCCTCCTCCCCAACGGCACGGCGCCCGCCAACCCGGCCGCCCTCCGCTACTACGGGCGCCTCCTGGAGGGCCTGAAGGCCCGCGGCGTCGAGCCCCTGGTCACGCTCTACCACTGGGACCTGCCCCAGGCCCTGCAGGACGCCCACGGCGGCTGGGAGAGCCCCGCGCTGGTCGAGCGCTTCCGCGACTACGCCGAGCTCTGCTTCAGGAGCTTCGGCCGCCACGTGCGCTACTGGCTCACCGTCGACAGCCCCTACCTCGTGGCCTGGCACGGCTACGCCACCGGCCGGCTGCCCCCCGGCGTCAAGGGCGGGCCCGAGGCGGGCTACAGGGCGGCGCACAACCTCCTCAAGGTAAGGGCAAGGGGAGCCGGGCGGGGGCTCCAGCCCGTCCTCGCTTTCGCGCGCCCTTCTCCCCCGGGCGTATCCGTGTCGCCCGCCGCCCGGAGAGTTTCCCCGAGGCGTTTGGCCGGCTGCTGCCTTTCCAACAGCCGCCGTCTAGAATTCCGGGCGAGCCTGAAAAGTAAGCCCAGGACCTTTCCCCTCTTCCATAGCCCTTCAATGAGAGGAGATAAAACGACCCCCTGTCCCGTCTCTGTTATAATCAGAGGAGAGGGATGGAGCGGAACCGCAAGGTCTCAGTTAATTACTCGCAGCATTCATTCCACAATTAAAAAGGATACATCTGCCCATCAATCTCCCAATTTTGATATATATGTTTTTCCTTTACTGTGTCGTCCCCCCCCCCCCAGAATTAAACCTAAACAAATGGTAACCATATAAACTAAGCTTGCTATTCCTGTTTGGTCCTTGAATCTGTTAAACATCTTCATTATGTTGTACGCTAATTTACTGCTCATCCTCTGCCTATATGTATGGACTGGTAACTTCCATTTCATTGTATCTGAAGAAGTTTGTGTGCACACGAAAGCTCCACTCTCCATGTTAATGATCTTTTTAGTCTTGAAGCTGATAATATAGCAACCATTGAATATTATTCCTTCATCTTTAATATCTTGCCAAGACTTGATTTTCCCTTGAGCATTTACCATGTTACCATATGTCAAAAAGTCATTTTTATTTCTCGTGTATGTATCATGATGAGCTTCCATTGGGGACATAACGGAGAGTTTGAAGGGCTCAGTAAGTTCTGGTGTGTAAACCATATTCTCAAAAGTCCATCTTTGACTGTATGGCTTATTTCTTGTGTTACAATCATTTTGATTGATTTCTTAATCCATAAATAATTGTGTAAACCTTCTTCCAGATCTGATTCAAGTTTTACTTACTTACATATACATTCAGTCATGCAGTGAAGATACTTAGAAAAGGAATGACTAAGGGTTTATAAAATTATGCATGGGATGGAGAGAGTTGACAAAGAGAACTTCCTCTCCCAAAATATTAGAACTCAGGGGCATCCAATGAAACTGATGGGCAGTAGGTTCAGGACGGACAAAAGGAAATACAACTTTACATAGACAGTGATTTATTTATTTATTTATTGGGCTTTTACCCTGCCCTCCCTGGCTCAGGGCGGCTTACAATAGAGGTCATAAATAAAACAACAATATAAATATCAGTATAGAATTCGCAGCATAGTTATTAAAACAATTAACGTGTGACGATGGCGGTACAGCTATGGTAAAGTGCATATGTAAACATCCTACAGCAGCAAGATCCACTATCGGCAGGCTCAGACTGGAAATAGTGTTGGTGCAGGGCATAGTTGGTGAAATGCAGCTCCTTATCTAAATGCCTGGCGGAAGAGCTTCATTTTCGCGGCCCTGCAAAATTCACTGCCAGAGGATGTGGTGATGGCAACAGGAATAAACAGCTTTAAAAGGGGATTAGATGGATTTATTCTATCAGTGGCTACTAGCCATGGTGGCTGAGGGGGACCTCCACATTCAGAAGCACTAACCCTCTGAATCCTAGCGCTAGGAGGCAACAACAGGGCCTCTATGCCCTGTTGTTGGCCATCCAGTGGTTGGCCACTGAGTGGGATAGGATGCTGGACTAGATGGACAATTGGTCTGATCCAGCAGGGCTCTTCTTAGGTTCTTGTGCTGAGGTGGCAGCTGCTGCCAAAGCAACATTTATAAAAACCTGCACAGCCAATCAGAAGTCCTGCTGGGCAAAAGATCCATCTGGCCCCACCCACTTTCTAAAAACACTTTCAGGTGAGGCTTTCCCCAACCCAACTTGCATTTCATGTCTGACCTGGACTCACTTTCAAAGTTGTGTGTGTGTGTGTGTGGCACATCGGCTGCAGAGCACGGCATCAGGAGGGGCTTCAGCCTTCTCTCTCTTCCATCCGGCAGCACTTTCAGCAGCAAGACATGATGGCTGAATATCTGCTTCTTCTTCTGTGTATCTGCCTGCTGTACCAGGTGAGAGGGAACATGAAAGAAGCCATGCTCCATAGCTGGTTTTGCTCCCCCTCAGCTATTTTGAAAGTGACTACAGGTCAGATGTGAAGTATAAGTCAGGCTGGGGAAATGTAAAGAGACCGAAGTCCACAGCTAAGGAGCTCTCTGTGCATGCAGCTTTGTAGCATATTCTGATACAGGTTTCCTTTTTATGCTGGAGTACAAAATCTGCCTGGTAATTTAGAATAACGACTACAATAGGTTTTTTTTTTAAAAAATATGTTATTTACAGTCCACCTTGCTCATTGGGACTCAAGGCAGATTACAGAGAGTGAGTCAATACAATCAACAGTGTGTTCATTGTATATGCTGTATGTGGCTTTTATGTGCGATCACTGTAACTTGTGAACAGGATTTATTCCTCCTGAGGAAGTTCTATTATTATGACCAGCAGCCAAAAAGCACCTCTTATGAGTCTCCAAGAACACCCCCTCTCCAAAGCACTTGATCTAACATTTTAAGCCACTTTGAGTTCCTATAAGGTAGAAAGGCAGCTAATAGATGTTTTTTAAAAATAAAATCTGACAAGGCCCGCTGTGACCAGGTCAGTGATGGGTGGCACTGGACACTTTTGTCTGGTGAAACTTATGTCGTCTGCTGTATTTCACCTGCAGGGTGATAGGGAGCAGAAAATGGTTTGCTCAGTCTAACTGTGGAGAGTGTATGTACAGAGGACTAAATAGAACAGTTTGGATTTAACAGAATTGGTTGGGGCGGGGGCAGAACTTAGGTTAGCACTGCTGGCCTGTTTGTTTTGCTTCAGACACACACATGAAGCTGTGTTATACTGAATCAGAGCCTTGGTCCATCAAGGTCAGCAGTGTCTACTCAGACTGGCAGTGGTTCTTCATGGTCTCAGGCAGAGGTCTTTCACATCACCTACTGCCTGGTCCTTTGAACTGGAGATGCTGGGGATTGAATTTGGGACTGCCTGTGTACAAAGTAGAGGCTTTTCTACTGAGCCATGGTCTTTCCAACATAATACCTTTTCTACCCGTGTCTCAACTTGTAAATTTTAAAAACAGAATATTCCAAAGTACCTTAATTCTCCAAGGATGTCCCATCCAAAGCAAACATACCTGGGAAAGGCGATCCTAAATGTAAATTTTTTAATTTCCCTAAATTTTGAGAAAGGAAAGTATAAAACAGTGATTTCATTTCAATAATGATACAGTTTGTCTCACTTAAACTAAGCCTTGGAAACTCATAGTCATGAATCACAAAGTCATTATTTTAACTATCAGGCTTGGCCATTTTTGGACGGTATGTTTTCAGGTGTATGGTTGCGGTGCTTTACAAATAAAGTAATACCCATGCACTGTAACAAGTTAAAACAATTTCTCTTTATATTAAAAATTAAACCTTAATCTGTTTTTACAAATGCCTGATATGCAAACATTACTGTGCTCTGTACATATTTTGTGAAGCTACATGTAGGTTTATTTGGATTTTGAACTCATCTTTTCTCCGGATAAGTTATTTATTATCTGAATAAGTCATCAGACAAGATCAAGTTTCATGAAAACAAGTTAATACTGTTGTATTCATTACCAAGGTCTGAATTTCATTGCTTATTTTGGTGCCTTGCTTATATACTTCGTGGTAAAGTTTGTTTTTGGGCTGTTGACCTAGTTAAGTACAAAATTACTTTGAACCTGTCATTCATAACATATTGGTGTCAGAACACAACATAGAATTTTGGTCAGGTAGGTGATAGTACACTCCTGTTTTAAAATTATTTTTAGGGCCTGGTTTCTCCACCATAGTGATTCTGTTTGGGAGTTTATTCTCCCTAAATGTTTATATGATTCTATGCCCAGTTTGATATACTAAGCAATAACTGTATCCTATTTATTTTTCCACAGGTTTCTGAAAGGCAAAATCCATGCTAGGGATTATTAAGAAAGAAATTAAAGTAACCAAGATGATTAAGGGGTTGGTGAACCTTAGACTAAAGAGCCTGTGGCTTTTCAGTTTAGAAAGAAGATGACTAAGGAGGGACATGGTAGAGGCTTATAAATTTTTGCGTGGGGTGGAGAAAATGGATAGAGAATATTTTTCCTCCCATAGTATGAAATCTCTGTTGGATATTGTAACTCTGCATGCAAGAGGGAGGGAAAGCGTTAAGATAATTCTTTCTGGGAGGGAAAGCGTTAAGATAATTCTCTGCTTGGGTACACGTAGTAGTTGGCCCAACCCTTTTGTTAGCAGTCAAACTCCTTCTCTCACTAAGGGGCAGTTAATACCTAGAAAACCATAAACACCCTAATATACATAATCTCAAATATCATAAATGCAATATACTGCCTGACCCAGAATGACACAAAATGGATGTCAGCACAAAACAAGAAATGTGAGTAAGATGGGCAGCTAGCTAATGACCTCCTTCCTACCCTAGAGAGAGGCATAATTTAGGAAAATGGGTCTCCCAAGAACCTATTGACTAATCCCATCAACATCCAGCCTCACTTCCCTGCACCCATTTACCGTAATTAAGCAACACTTAATTCTAGTCACCTAACCTGGTAGCTTTCCCCATCCAGTACTTACAGGGTCATCAAGCCCCATTTACACTAATAGTCTGCCTCAGGAAATCCTATCAAGCTTATCCCAAATCATTGTCCACCTCTGAAAAACCCATAAAATTATTATTTTGGGGGGTGAATGTCCGCTTATCCCAGGGAACATTTTGCCCTATATTTGGATTCCGTGTGTGTATTCCTGGTACCAACAGCATGCACCTCCACTTTGTGGGTTTCTTCTCCCTGGAATGCTGGCCGTTTTTGTGCTGCATCCATGGACCTCTACAAGATCTTGTTCCATAAGTCGTGGCTTGCGTGTCCCCAGGCCCGATAAAAGAACACACGAGAAGTTCCAGTGAGGAAGAAAAACTAATAAAGAGAGAAACAGTGCAATGCAACA